TTTTTATAGCCCCAAGTACATAATCAAGTGTTGTAGAACATTTAAAAAATAAACATAAAGAAAATCAAATAATCCTATCCCACCACCTAAAGATAAGTGTTATTAGTATTTTGATCTGCTTTCTGTCAGACATCTTTTCATGTCAATAAATGGATGTCTATACTGTATTTCAATCATGGTCGTGGCAGGAAGCTGAATTCAACCCACATGTGTGAAATTAAGAGACTTTCATGAAAGGATTATTTATAGGAGTGTGGGCAGGGATTAGGGAACAGACTAGGGATGGATGGTGAGGCCCCCTGGCACCCAGACACTGGCAGCATGAGGAGGCTCTGACCAAGCAACAAGAGGAGAAAATAGTGTTATTGGAACCCCATGAGAGCCAAAGCCAAGGAGGAATGGTCACTCCCTGAAGTTATGAAGGAGAAATAGCTCCTGTCCAGAATGAGGGACTGAAACACAGAGAGTTGGAAGAAATTCTCTTTTTTCTCCTTCTGATGTGTTACCTCCATTTGTTTAATCCACCTGGATGTCAAAGGGGAACGATGTTCAGTTCTAGGCATCAGCCTCCCTGTGCACAGAGCAGGACACAGAGGGGCAGGAGAGGGGGAGTCAGTTGCCACATGAACAGTAATCGATAGAGTGGCCCATTATGCACACACCATACTTTAATTCGGGAATCTCCTATAGTTAACCAATTTATATTATTTCCTATACAAAGTGTGTTTAGAATTGTCATCAAATAATATGCACATGTTTAGTTCCAAAATAACCTATAGAATTTTTTTCTCTTTACAAATGAGCCTGGCAATCTCTTGGTTATCTACATTAATAGTTACAAACAACCTCAACTCAACCTAAGATAGAGTTTCTAATTGGTGATAATGTTATTATAATAATAATTATTATATCAATGCCTTCACGTTTGTGATGTGCCTCTTCACTTGTTCAAAGCATCGTCCCACTGACCACCTCTTTTGAGCCCCACAGCACCCCATGGAGGTGGCAGATGGCCTAACTTTTCACACCACACTCATACCTTTTGAATGAGTTTGTGTTGTTCCTTTTAGTCTTGTGTGTGGTATTGGCTTTGGTGTGGGTTGCCTTTAACCTCGGCAATTCCCATTTTGCTTAAAATTTAAGGAGCTACTTTTTCTTTTCTAAGTTGGAAAATTCAGCTGGCTAAGATGCTTCCATCATGTTTAGTGTACTTGATTTCTATTTTATCCTTTTCTTATAAAGGTGAAAAACTCTGGGATTAAGAAGCTTTTCCATTTTCATTTTCATAAAGTTAGAAGGAAAAAAATACTAACTATCACCAAAACAGTTAACGGAAAAGAGCTCTATGAGGGTATGGAATGTGCCTGTTCACTGATGTGTCTAGTACACAAATAAATGAATAAATGATGAATGAGTGAATTAATGAGTCAATTAACCCAAATGTTCTTGGGCCTCAGTAGATTTGAGTACAAACGAGTTAACCTTAACATTGGCTAATTGCGGGGACTCTTAGCTCGTGGCTGCCCGACTACAAGCAGGTCCTTAGCTTTCTGCTCCAAGTCTCCCTTAGGCTTTCTGGAGTTCACAGGGCATGAGAACCTCCTCAGGTGTAGGTCTGCGTGTTTT